GGGAAAGACCTCAGATGCATTATGTTAAGTGAAAAAAGCCAGATTGAAGGCACTTATTAAATGATTGAATGATAATATCGATTGATTGAAATGGGGCTCATGTGGGTCCAGCTGTCTTTTTTTCTTTTTTTTTTTTTTTGAGTACTCTCTCCCCAGCCTGTTTTATTTTTTTATTTTGAGACAGGGTTTTGCTAAAATGTCTGGGGTGGCCTGGAACTTGCAATCCTCCTGCCTCAGCCTTTTAAGTCACTGGATTACAGGTGTGCACCACTATGCCCAATAAGGTGGGAGGGGATTTCAAGTTTGAAGCCATCCTGGGAAATTAAGTGAGACCAGTCTCAAATTAAAAAAAAAAAAAAAAAAAAAAAGAGTTGGGGGATGTAGCTCAATGATAGAGTGCTTGTCCGGCATGTAAGATGCCCTGGGTTCCATTCCCAATACAAAAGACTCTGGAACTGTGTGCAAAAAAAATAAAGAGCATTTTATGAATGATCCCTTTATATAACCATCGAAAACTTAGGGCCATATACTCTTGTTCCAGGCACTGTTTATAAAGTCCTTTACATACATATATTTTGGCTCAGTCCTCCTGACAACTCTATGAAGTAGATATTAATTACTCCAAATTGTGAGAGTTTTATCCCAGAATCCCTCAACTTCCACTAAGTCATTTCACTGAGGGGCACATAGCTAACAATGAGGCTTAGCAGGAATTTCAAACTCAAACACCCATGGCAACCAGGCAGGTAATGTAACTAAGCCCAATAGACCAAGGCATTAGGGAAGGTGGGGACTGGGGAAAACTTCTCAATACAGACTTTATTTGGAGGGGACAGTTGCACCTGGGCTCCAGCAACTACGAGGGGAAATAAGGGCCCAGGGTTGTCAGATAGTCTGATTGTTTGAGAATGCCCTAACAGTCTAGTTTATATGAAATGTCAATGTTTTATTAAATGTTAACAAATAGCTGGATTCAATGCCCCACACCAATGACTCAGAAGGAGGAGGCAGGAGGATTGAAAGTTCAAGATCAGACTCAGCAACTTAATGAGAACTTGATTCAAAATTAAAAAAAAAAATTTAAAAGACAGGAAATGAAGTTTAGTGGTAACACACCCCAGGTTCAATCCCCAGTGCTGAAAAAAAAAATGTTAGCAAATAGTCAATAATTTTAAAAAAACATGTAGATGTTAGTTAAACGTACATTCTCTCCTTCCTCCTTCTCCAAAATCACCCCCCAGGTGTAAGAGACCAATAAGCAGAAGCAGAAAATCCATAGCTAGTGAAATCAGGCATTATCTGCAGCCGTTGTGAAAGTAGGAAGGAGAATGGAAGAATAGAAATGAACTTTGCAGGGGGCTGGGGCTAGAGTACAGTGCTTGTCTCCCATGCAGAAGGCCCTGGGTTCAATCCCCAATCCCCAGCACCACACACACACAAAAAAAAAAAAAAAAAAAAGAAATAAACTTTGCAAATGGGATGTGGTAGCACCCAACTGTAATCCCAGCAGCTCAGGATCACAAATTCAAAACCAGCCTCAGCAATTTATCAAGACCCTAAGCAATTCAGTAAGGCCCTGTCTCTAAATAAAAAAAGGAAAAAATGAACTTTGCAAGGTGGAGGAAGGTGGAGGAAGATAAAACCAAAGACCTGCAAAAGCAGATCCCAAGGAGATGCTGGTCAGGCCTCTCCCAAAATCCCAGGGAGTCTCTAGAATTGGAGGCACCATAGAGGGTGGAAAGAAAGGACTAAGGAGGTTGTATGGACTAAGGAGGTTAGAAGCCCATGTGGGACAGAGAGTCTGTCAGGTTCCCAGCCCTAGCGGGTCTAGTCCTGCTGACTGCCTCTGATGGTAGGGTTTCCTTCTGGAGAAACCAAATCAGGGAGGCTCCAGTGTTGGGGGTGGTGGTGCTGAAAGTAGAGAGGAAGGGAGTGACCACAGACGGAGAGTAGGGTGACAGCAGCAGCAGTGGGCACAGCAACAGGAAGTTAATGGCCCCTTCCCCGGCCTTGCTCTAGGGATTCCACAGCCTTACCCATGCTCTCCCAGAGGACAACTGGAGGTCCTTTCCTAGATGGCTGGGACTCCCCTCCGGTCAGAAGACTTTCAGACACCCACATTAAGCCTTCTTCCAAAAGGCTGCTGGCCACACACTGACTCAGCCATTGATGGGCCTTACTTCTGCCATCACATTGATGGTACTGGGGTTATCATAATGGCTCCTTTCCATACTTCTTCTTCTTCTTCTTTTTTGTCAATAGACTTTATTTATTTGTGTGCGATGCTCTAAAGCTTCCAATATGAAGAGAGTTCATGTTGAGGGCGGAGGGAATGGGGGGACAAACAATGTAGGGAGCAAAAGAGACTTCAAATAGCTGGGCACAGTGGCTAGCGCATGCCTATAATCTCAATAGTTTGGGAGGCTGAAACAGGAGGATGGCAAGTTCAAGGCCAGTCTCAGTAATTTAGTGAGACCCTTAGCAGTTTGGTGAGACTATGTTTCAAAATAAAAAAATAAAAAGGGCTGAGGATATACCTCAGGGGTAAAGTGCCCCCTGAGTTCAATCCCCAGGACTATGAACTCAAAATAGTTGTGGAATCAGAGTCAATATTGTATTCATGAAACAAGACAGGATGCTCTTAAGAAAGTTTTTTTTTTTTAAAAAAGCATAATTTAAACTTTTAGTAAAATTTCCCTAAAAGTAGGTCAAAGAAAAAAATTTCAGAAAATATAGTGGGCCCTCTGTTTTTGTGGGTTCTACACTCAAGGATTCAACTAACCTTGGATTAGAAATATTTGGGGAAAAAAATCTGCATCTGAGCCAAGTGTAGTGGCACACAGTGAGACCCTGTATCAAAATCTTGTCTCAAAATATAAATTCAAAAGTGCTGGGGATGTAGCTCATTGGTAGAGGACGCCTCAGTTCAATCCCCAGTACTGCAAAAAATAAAATCAAAACAAGCAAGCAAGCAAACAAGCAAGCTAAGGCAAACCAGAAGCTGTGGTTCATGTCTGTAATCCCAGCTGTTTGGGAGACTAAATAGGGGTAATGTCAAATTCTCAAGTTTCAGATCAGTCTTGGATAACATAGCAAGAGCCTATCTCAAAAAAAAAAAAAAAAACCCAAAAAGGTAATATTATCATCTTGAAGAATTAAAGGGTCCCTTCATCTGTAACTCAAACCATACCCAAAAATATAAAGAGGAAATCAAAGTGGAATTTAGTTATTATATTATCACTAATTATACTGACAACCCCCTCCTCTGAAAAAAAAAAAAGTTAAGCAAATGTGGGCAGGAAGGGAGGAAAGTGAAATACTGGAACAACAAAGGTATAGAACTCATCAGTGTACAATTTGGATCAAGGGCACACAATATGATGGGCATGTAGCTCAGTGAAAGTTTGTGTTTAACATGCCAGAGGCCCTAACTTCATCCCTAGCACCCCCTCTCCCCGCCAAAAAAAAAAAAA